TTCCTTCTAGCACAATGTTCCTGGCTTTCTTCTAAATTTTTTCAGGTAACTGTGTATCTTAGAAGCCCAATGTTTGAGATGTTTTAGTGGCAGTGATAGTAGCTTTTATGAATTTAGTGTGTGAGGAAATGGAACATGGCAATGGATGTAAGACAGCAAGAAAAACTAAACAAAACAATGCTGTATCTGAGAATATTAATAAGTATGGCCACCTTTGAGAGTTTTTATTTTTAAAAGAGAATGAATTAAATGCTAAGGTGCATGCTTTCTCCTTTAAATATACTATAAAATCAGGGGAAGGAATACTAACTAGGCTAGTAAATGTAAAATATGCGTTTCCCCTCAAAAGAAAAGATAAAATTGTCCACCTGTTAGTCTGAAAGAAGGGAGAGCTGTCACTCATTCAGTGAACATTTACTGAGTATAAACTGTGTGTCAGGGTCTTCTATGTCAGAGACAAGGGTGTTTTGCAAAACTTCAGGGACAAAGAGAAGACATCACTCTCAGCAAATGCACTCTGAACTTCCCATGGGCCACAGGACCATGTGGAGCCCACAGCTCCTTGTCATGATACTGATTATGTCATCCCTATGGAGGCAGAAAGTTTCCTTTCATTTTGTCAGAAGATATTATACTATAATCTAGACTTTGACTATATATTCCTTCTGTCCTTCAAACTCCCACCAGCAGCAGCAGCAGCAGCAGCAGCAGCAGCAGCAACAATCTGCCAAGCAGAAAGCAACTTGCTACCAAACTTTTGGTTACTTTAAGCTCAGCCTGGACAAGTAGGATAAAACACCACTAAAAGAAACCTGAAAACATTCCAGTTTCAAAGTTAAGGTAATATACACAATTTTCACTGTTTTCCATATAAATTATTACATTTGAGAAATCTGCTTCCGTCCTCTAGCAAATGTAAACTGTCCCCTCACTATATGCTAAAAACCCTGTGATAATATTACACCTTTGTTATTAAAGTTTTGTAAATGCTATGCGATCCATGTGGTCTGTTCCACAAAGCCAACGAAGGACTCTAGAGATCCACAACCACCTTACATTTTCAACATATCAGGATGACAAAATGGAAAAGTTCTGTTACAAGTCTTTTTAAAAAGGAGTCATCGTACTGCAGAGACTGAAAAAAATGGCAGACAAACTTTTAAGCATACACCATCACCTACTGACTCAGTGGGTCTGGAATGGAACCTAAGAATTTGCATTTCTGTGATGTTCCCAGGTGATGCCGATGCTGCCCGTCAAGGGAATGCACTTTGAGAAAACTGCTCTTGATCAGGGTTGGCAAATATTTCCCATAAAAGCCCAGATAAACACTTTAGGTTTTGTGGAGCCATATAGTCACTTTTGCAGCTAATCAAAGTGCAAAAGCAGCCATAGACAATGTGCAAACAAATGGGTGTGAGACCACATTCCAATAAAATGTTATTTATAAATACTGAAATTTGAATTTCATATTATTTTTTAAAGAACGATATTCTGAGGCCGGGTGCGGTGGCTCACGCCTGTAATCACAGCACTTTGGGAGGCCGAGGTGGGTGAATCACAAGGTCAGGAATTCGAAGCCATCCTGGCCAACATGGTAAAACCCATCTCTACCAAAAATACAACAATTAGCTGGGTGTGGTGGCGCGTGCCTGTAATCTCAGCTACTCAGGAGGCTGAGGCATTAGAATTACTCGAACCCAGGAGGTGGAGTTTGCAGTGGGCTGAGATCACACTACTGCACTCCAGCCTGGCGACAGAGTGAGGCTCCGTCTCAAACAAACAAAAATAAGAATGTCATTTTGATAATTTTTAAAATTTTCTCATCATTTAAAAATATAAAAACCGTTCTTAGCTTCTGAGCCATACAGAAATAGGCAGGGGCTGGATTTCGCCCACAGGCCATACTTTGCCAACGCCTGTTCTAGATGAGTGGTTTCTAACCCTGGCTCTTCATGGGAATTAACTGGTGAGTTTTAAAAGGCCCAGATACTTAAACCCAAGAGATTCTGATTTAATTAGTCCAAACCCAAGGGTGATTCTGGACTACAACCAGGATTGAGAACTACTGGCATTAATCAATATTTTCCCAAATTACATCTAAGGAGGATATTTAGGACTTAGTCTTTTCATGATAAAAATTTCTGGGAAAATGAGGTTTAAAAGATTTATTTATTGCAGGACATCTCACAATCTTCTCACAAATCTCCAAGAAAGGGCTACAATATGGAGCAGTGTTTTCCAGATTCATTTGAACATCAAAGTCCTAGAACATCTAATGGAACTAGTGTTCTGTTAAGCATTTGGGACACAGTGCTCTAAATCCTTCATTCATAAAGAATAGCAGATACTTAATATTTAGATGCATAAAATTATAGCAAAATATGAGAGCAGAAATTAATTTTAAAATGAGAAAATGATTCTTGATAAACTAGCAATAAAAAAATACAAACTCCTGATAAATCTGAACAAATTAAAAAGAAAAAATCCACAAAATATCAGGCAATAATTTTTAAAGGGAGGGGAAACACAATAAATTTGAAAAAAGGTGAAGGTAAAAGATGGTTTTCTACAATGTCAAACCTAACATGAAAGTTACAGAAAATCAGAACACATCAACTACAGAAGAAAATGGAAAAGAATCAATGCCATCAACCCTTAATTAAAGAAAGAGATGCTGAAACAAGGTCTCAAAAGATTGATGAATGCTCTTAAACTTTTCAAGAGCTAGATGACTCTTTGATAAATCCAAAGGATGTTCATCATTATCTCCTGACCAGACACACAGTAGCCACTCAGCAAATACAGTGAATGTATTTGAAAAAATCAAAGCGTAGTTGTCAACACAGAAAAGAACGTATCATTTCCATGGTCCAGCAGCAGTAGCTGAAGTTCTAAATTGTGAAGGTTCTTCCTACTCTACCCTGCATGAGGAGAAAAGCTGCCACAGTGTACCACAGAAAGAAGACAAAAGGCCAGCAGGCACCACTGGAAAGGAAAATAATGAAACTAACAACTCACTTCTTTCACAGCTTCTTACACCAGAGCATCCTGATCATCTGTATTACTAGCTGGAAGGGCACTTCCCTGACATGATAAAGTGAACTACGCACATAAGCAAATGAGACAAGTAGCTTGTAAAGAAGTGGATGTTTATTATCTTATTGCTTGATGTGGTTAATGCCCAAGCCTAGTGGTACTCTGAAAACATTATGAGCATGCTATTCGAAAGAACTGGCATATGACTGTCAACAATGATATAAAATAAATGCACGTTCTATTCCACACACACTTAAAGTTAATGTCTATAAACTTGAAAGTGTCTGATTAATTAGTTCCAGAGCACAAGAAAAGACTTCATGTTGCCAATTGATTATGAAGCATTTCACTAATCCTCACATCTAAAATATGGGGAGAAAAGGTTAAAAAAAAAAAACAACTTAAAAGATCATATCTATTCTATATTTTTAAAGTGAAAATAAATGAGCTTTTGAATTTCTAAATAATTTAATGAGTCAAAATTAGAGATAATAAAGTGAAAAAATACTATATTTAGATGATATGACTTAGTACGCCCAAAATCTAAAATATCTAGCACAATATCTACTCAGCAGAATGTAATTCTGAGATCCCCTTTCCTTTTCTGTATACGCTGTCCTCTATAGTAGATAAGTATACTAAATTTCAACTTTTCTTATTAGAGATAATCAGAAAAAAAAAATAGTTGAGTTGAAAATAAAGAAGGGCCATGAAAGGTAAGCTGCTTGAAGTCACAGAATTGATAAATGCCAAAAAGATTACTTGAATCCTACATGATTCTCAAACCTGTGCTCTTTCCATGGTACCAGATGAGAACTTCAGCTTAACAGGTATTTACTAGAACTTACTAAGCAACAAGCATAGGAATTAAAAAAAGAGTAACATGTTTTAAGGAAACCTAAGTTAAGTTAACTGCTTAAGTATTTAGCTGGAAACCTAGGTAGATATCCTAAATCCAATTTCAACAATCCTTGTACTACATGATCATTACATACCTAAAAACCACATACTCTAACGTGTCCTAGAAACAGCAAATATCATTTTAATGCGGGAGGTAACTATAAAACTTTAACTCTAGAATGTTATTAGAAGAATACCAAAAAAAGGCTGACCTCCCACACAAATAACATCTTTCGTGCTTTACAGCATACATAGTCCCGAAAACACACACACACACACACACACACACACACAAACACACGTATGTTAAACGTAATTTGAGAAAGGGGAATCTGAGTTCTAAATCAATTTCCAAAGCAAACTACATTCAGTTCAATTATAGCACAATCTCAAATAGATCATTTGCAAGTTTCCTATAGATATTTTAATGTAATTACTTTTAAAACATGAACACTTAAATTGAGATAGTCATTCTTGGAAATCTTTTAAGAAAATATCAGGTAATTCAGTGTTCGTACAACTTGGAGAAATGTGGGCTTAAAAATAAGCATTCAGTGGATTGCTGTTGGATGAACATCGATAATCATTAGTAGATCTACCTGTGTATCTGATCTTACTCTGTTCAACATTTCCTATTATAAACAAGATGAAGACCCAGAGATTATATTGAAAGATCAGGAAAAATCGCCAATTAGTCCATGATTTGGGCAAATAAGTTTTTTGAAAATGAAATTAAATAAAAATTCTAAGCCCCATGAAAATGCTCTAATAATATACACTGAAAGAAGTAACACATCCAGGAGACGAACTAAGGAGCACAGAAAAACAGAATGACTGCCATCACCTACTAAGCAGTCTATGAATGATACACATGATTCTGATCACTTCAGAAGAAAATAATAACTGGGGATACTGGAACTTTCAAAATCTTCACATAAAGTAATTCTAATATAAATAGTTAAGAAGTTGTTTTCTCATAACATTGATGACTTCTGGCCAAGTAAAATTAAGATCAAACTGCTTTAAGTTAAGGTTTCTTTGTAAATAAAAACCATACTTACCACAATCCATTCAGCAATGTTTTCATAGAGCTCTGGACTAAAAATTGCTTTCTTAAGCCTAGCTAGAGGACCATCAGCATCTACTAATCTGCACCGCATGAAAACATCACAGTAACCTCTAAAATCATTGCAAGGGGATCCAGGTTGCAGGGTGATGGTTCGACCACTGAAGTGCTTGCTCCACTGCACAGACCCTGTACTGGCACAAGTTGATGGGTCCACTGGAAAAGAAATGCCAAATATAAGCTGAAGATCAGATTCAAATATAAGTTGAAGATCAGATTTCTAGTTGGGGAAATACAAAGGGGAAAAAAACTGTCTGAAATCATTACTATAACATGTTATATTGACCTTTTCTAGTTAGCCTGGATAACACCATTAGTAATTCACGTTAAATGTTACAAAGTAAACAAGCAACTAGCAAGTCTTGATTTAGTGTCCACAATGACTTTAAAACCTTCTAACAGTGTTTAAATAAATTACTGCTGTAAAGCAGGCAATGTTTTGTCTAGTTTATCATTTTTAAAACATTGTAGAGACCCTAATAAGAGAGACACAGTGCTCTGTTACATCTGTAATTTCCTCAAGAGGACAGATTTAACTGGAAACTATCTGGCCAAACTATAGGTCAAAGTTTAACACTTAAAATTTAGGAGAAAATAATAGTTTGAGGCAGATTTTATACTCTTGTATTTTTAAAAGCCTTACTTTTCTTCATACAGCATACATGGCATAATTCTTTATCATCTTTGCCATCAGAACTGGCACAGGTACACTCCTCTAAGCCATATTTCTCACAGATAGAACCTGCACATTGCTAGAAGAAAAATAAAAGACAAATTATTTAATCCCTATACAGTCAAACCTATTGTTTACAGCAATAGACAGGCATGTGTAAGTTTCCAATGTAAAAATATTTAAATGGAAATAAAAGTGAAAAACAAACACAGATGAGTATCAGAACTGTATTGCATACATTTGAAAACATTTGAAAAACAGTAAATGCAAGCAACATATTAAATCTTGTAAAGCAATGACAACTTTAGAAAATGAAATAAAAGCAGAGAAAGAGATGAGATCAATTTTATGTTGGTTATTATGGTTTAATTTTAAGAAAAATTAAATTTTCTTCACATAGAGCAAAGTGATACTCAGCCAAAAAAGCTTTAAAGGTTTCATATTCAGAGAAGATGACCAGAAGAGTTATTTTATTTAGGCTACTGAAATATTTTATAAAACTTAAATATTACAGACCAATCACACGCCGAGCAGCACAACTATGTTTCTCTAGATAGTATCAACCACATATACATGAAAATATGAAACACAAGTTAGTAGCTAATTGAATGCCACATAATATATTCATGTTTTTGTGGGGGAATAGATAGGGATATTACTTAAACAGAGACCAAGATTAATTACTTTATGTAGCTTTAAGCATCAGTAATTATTCTGAAAAACAAGTTTTCTAAAATAAAATTTAAAAACATATAAAGTTAAATGCTTACCCCATTAATGCACACTTGTGTATGCCTATTACAGTCTGTGAAGTTTGGTTTAGGGTCAGATGCTGGGCAGAGAGCTGTGAAGCCATTACATATTCCTTCCCTTGCACAGTCTGAATCATCCCGACATTTCTCAGACTTTGACTTAAATGCACAGTATGCAGTACAACAAGGACCTTGACTTGGACTAGAAGAAACATTAACTGATTAAACAAAGTAAATCACTAGTTACTTCCTTAATCATCTCCTTTTTTGTTTGTTTGTTTGCAACTTCTGGCAACTAGTTACTTCCTTTTTTTTTTTTTTTTTTT